ATGTGCTGCTAGAATATAAATCGGGGCTGTGAAATATCTACAGGTGTATCAAATCTCTTAAAAGGCCACTCGACCTTGATAAGTAGACATGTGTGACCGGAGGTAGGAAAAGCGGCTTCATCTTTCCTGGACAATTTTAGAAACATGATTCTTATTCTATTGTGATATTACAGCTATGTTATGGTAAATGTTTGTATATGAAGGGTCCGAACTAGTGCATCACAAGACTTGTGTGAGAAATCCACAATTAAGGTGGAATATCTTTGAAGATGAACCTATTTTGCTGGTATTTACTCAGGGGAGGTATAGAAGAGGCTACGATGACAGCTGTGGGCTTCTTATTAGCTGAGGGAACGGCATTACCGTAACAAAACGATCAATAGTCATCGGCCTCGGTGGTCTAATGGTTAGCGTGCCGGGCTATGCTGAAGGTCCCGGGTTCAAATCCCGCTCGTGACGTTAACTTTTTGTCCAAGATTTTTTATTATCAGCAAGTTTGGTTGGTTTGGTTCGGTTATGACAGTTTAATTTTATTATTAAGTCATTATAAAATTTTAGTAGAGCAATTTCTAGTTTTATTTAATAAACAGAATTATTTTTTCTATTAATAAACTTTTGTTATATTATTTCATTATCAGCAAGTTTGGTTAGTTCGGTTAGGTTATGATAGTTTAATTTTATAATTAAAAAATAATAAAATTGAATTTGAGGCATTTATAATTTTATTTTATGAACAGAACTATTTTTGCGATTAGTAAACCTTCTTTGCCAAAGTACTCTCTACTACAGCGCTGTTTACGGAGGAATTTTGAACTAATGCCTCATTCGTACCTCCCCTAAGTCAGACCCTATTTTGCTGTAGTGCGATCATGTGTTCATATGTGTCAAATTTTGAGGTTAAATCAAAGCAAACAAACTGGCATATTGTCAAATTAGGCATAGGGGCCGTGTTGTATTACTTACGAAAGAATGCCCATTTAAGATAAAATGAATTAATTTAGTATATTTCATTGTCTAATTTATTAGAAAATATGCAGTATTTAGGCTACTGCATTTTATAAGCCAAACTCGAATCTTGCTTCCTTGGCCTATCGTATAATGTTATCCTGTTTGTACGTGGTGAACTTATCTGATTGCATTCATGAATTATCTGCAATACAATTTATGATATACAGGGTGACACAGAGGAACCGGACGTTTTTTAAACAGCTGTTCCATTGTTGTTGCACGCAGTAGGAAGATTGAGGTTATGTCATTACCTTCAGTGAGGCTTGCCATTTTTGTTGAAATGGCTCAGTGGACCCTAGACCATCGTGTTTTCGCATACGATACTTTGGTGCAAAATGGTGAATCCGCCGTCAAATCCAGCGGGAATTCAGTCAAAATTTTTATATTGAACGCCATGGAACGGTTCCAAGCCGAAATACGCTATTAAGATAGGTTTCAGGGTTCCGAACAACTGGGAATATAACATGAAAAAAAACCACCAGGCCTTGTTAGAACTTCGAGAACACCCGAAAACATCGCCAAAGTGAGAGCAGTATTGAATTAATGTTTCCTAACTAGGTGATTTCTCGCTTTGGTGACATACCGTGGCCGCCAAGGTCACCTGACTTGTCCACTAGTGATTACTTCCTTTGGGGGTTTCTTAAGGAGCGTGTTTATGTTCACAAACCACGCACCCTAGAGGATTTGAAGCATAGATGAAGTTCATCTATGATTTGAAGTTTGCAATCACAGAAGGTATCAATTGCATTGAACAAGACCCCCTGACCCGAGTTTCAGATGATTTTCAGACAAGAATGAACATTTGTAGAGAAGTACATGGCCGCAATATGCACGTCATTTTCAAAAAATGACTGTTTTGTAACAAATGGCAAATGTTTACCTCACTATGTATAGTATTAAAACCATTTTATTCCTTTTAACTACTGAGTACTACTTATTTAAAAAACGTCCGGTTCCTTTGTGTCACCCTGTATATATATATATAAAATATAAAACATATATTTAGATGTTACGTAAAACTCATCATTAATGTATGTCCCAAAACAGTTATTTTATGTGTATCCCAGTCACAACAAAAACATTATTCTATTAATATAATGATCGAAATTTCAATAGCCTATTTTAATATTTGCTCATATAATTAACTATTTCCAAAGCAACTATCGCTTATAATTTGGAGACAATGATAAAATAATAACTCATTCGTTGGTTGATTTGGAATTAGGAATCACGCCTCTATTTCACAGTAAATATTCTCTAAATTACCAAGTACTTTTATAAAAGTAGGCTTGAGTAAGTTTAAAGTATTTTTAACTATTGTCAATTCCAAGTATGCCAGTTTGTTTTGATTTAACCGCAAAATTTGACACATATGAACACATGATCGCACTACAGCCGCACTACAGAATAGGTTCATCTTCAAAGATATTCCACCACACCATAAGTGCTTCTAGCTAAAAAAAATCCAACTGTATATTACAGATTTTAAGCAATTCCAGCCTTTGAAAATTACTATAGTGGTTGTAATGTTCTTCTGACTTCATACATTGTACAAGGATTCTTACGAAATAACACTCTAATATAGTCTACCGTTTGACTAGATTACAAAACAAAACACTTGGCATATTCAAAACTATACTGAATCCCTAACAAATAATAAGGCAAGGATAACATATGTTGACAATGCAATGGTGAAACATTTACAGCAAAATCCTTCGCAAGTAACGGACGTCAATAAAACAGCTGATTTCCATACAAATAAAACTTTGTTGTTGGTAACAACAGTGAACCCGTAAAATCCAATTGATTCCTAGCAATCAAATGCGTTGGGAAATTGGATTAGCGTTTTTCACTATTTTTATTTTAGACGTGATCCGATTTAACTACTCACCAGTTGGAGATTTGTACAGTCAATTAATTCGTTTAAGGCGTTTCTTAATTATACATTTGTGTGTATATTATACATTTGGAATCTAGAATCAAGGTTTCTTATTTAACTTAAATTACAATTTAACATGATATCTACTTATTGTCTGTTTCTGAAATATCTCAAATAAATCAATTTGAAGATATCATCTTGTATTTTTCTATGGGGCTCACTTAAACGGAACGGTTAGCGAAGCGAAATCAGATTCATAAAACAAAATCTATTTTTTGAGTTTATTTCTACTTAGTTTATCGAGCTCAGTGCAGGTTTGCTTCAAAAACGCTAAGGTTTCGACCATCAACTTTCATATTATACAGTAGTAAACTTATAGTAATGCGGATTAAGGTTACAACAAAAAATTTTTTTTTATAATCCAATAAATGTTGAACCGATAAAACGTCTATTGCTGCTAACAGTTTATTTGACTTGCTAGCTAGTCCCTGCAAACTTTAGTATGCAGTGTGCATGGTTGAACATACACGGTGTTGCGTTGTAGTGAATAAAGGCGCTAACAATTTAAGTAAATACAATAAATAAATCAATTATATTTTCTTCGTTGTACATTTATTTCTTATAGTATAGCCTATGTTCATTTTTAATACTAAATTGAATTGGGTCAAACAATTAATTATATCATGTACTAGCTGGCCCGACAGACTTCGTCCTGTCCTAATGTGGTTTTATGTCAATGCTCGTTCATTTTCTAGATGAGCTCGTTCGCATGGCTCAATCATGTCCTGGTTGAAGTTCGTTCGCTACGCTCACTCACCATTTGGTTGCAAATTAGCTGTTGTCATAAATGAAGAAACATAGTGCTGCACCCTGTTGGTAAACCTATTACCTTTTTAATGCTATTGAACATCACAGAATCAAATTGTTTAGTTGAACCAGCTGTTAAGATTCTTTAATTCCATTTAAATATGAGTACTCATAAGGTTAACATGGGAAACTCTAGAGCCACTGGGGCGGAGCCCTCTTGACGGATCTGCACCAAACTTCACACAAACCATCCTTGAATAATGCTTAATAATGCCTGAAAGTTTCATTACAATCTGTCGAGCGGTTTCGGAGTCCATAAAGGACAAACATACTTTGGATTTTATATATATAGATAGATAGACTAGCTGTAACCCGCGGGCTTTGCCCCGTTTAACTTCTTAATTTTCAAGATTATCTCGTTCGCATGGCTCAATCACGTCCTGGTTGAAGTTCGTTCGCTACGCTCACTCACCTTTAGGTTGGAGCTCGTTCGCTACGCTCACTCACCTTTAGGTTGGAGCTCGTTCGCTGCGCTCACTTGCCTTCAGGTTGGCTCGTTCGCTACGCTCACTTGCCTTCAGGTTAGCTCGTTCGCTACGCTTACTCGCCTCCAGGTTGAAGTTCGTTCGCTATGCTCACTCACCTTTTGGTTGCAAATTAGCTGTTGTCATAAATGTAAAAGAAATAATAGTGCTGCATCCTGTTGGTAATCCTTGTAACTTTAATGCTATTGAACATCATAGAACAGAACCAACTTGTTTAATGAAACAGCTGTTAAGATTCTTTAATTCCATTTCTTATAAAGTTAACATGGGAAACTCCAGAGCCACTGGGGCGGAGCCCGAGAGTCCGATCTGAATAAAAACAACTTAGTTTTCCTATTTAATGCCTAAAGAATCAGTGTACCAAATTTCAGCCTCCTAGGTAAATGGGAAGTGGGAGAATTAGTGATGAGTGAGTCAGTCAGTGAGGGCTTTGCCTTTTACATATATAGATAGATAGATAGATTAATGAATGGAACTAAACAATTCGGTTACATAGAACAATGTTTGCTATGCCTATTTTGGGTAGTAAATATAATTTCTTCCATTTACTTATGGATGGGAGGAAAACCTAAGTATTAAATATAATAGAAATCATACAACCAATTGTTATTGGAATTTAAAATATTTATTTTATTGTCAAATTTGGCATGTTTCCTTTTTAGTGTAAAATCAAAATGTGGTATGTATCAATTCAGTCATATAATACTGTAAATGTACAAACCAAGCAAGAACAAATCCCATCAAACTCACAAACATTAAAGTAAATTTCAGCTTTATTTAATAATTTGGAAACAATCGAAACATATTTTGAGATGTGAGAAAAAAATGTTCACTTAACGTCCTCTTCTTTCTTTGACGTCAGCGATTCCATTTTCGCGGTTTTGACGCAGGTGATGAACTTCTTCACGTCCCCGTCGCATACCAGAGGCTCCTTGGAGTTTTCCTTGTAACAGGCTGATACGGCACCCAGGTTATCTTTGCAGGGGTTTTCCTTCTCTTCGGCCGTCGAAGATGTCAGTGTGGCTTGCACATCCTTGAACCCTTGGTCTCTTTCTAACTGAATCACCTTTTTTATGTTATCCTGAAGCTCTCGTGCATCGTCTACTCTCTTCTTCCAGTAGGTTTTATTCTTCGCAAGCTCATCCTCTTTCGTGCTCTCACCGTCCAACAGGTAAACTTTTGCGTCGGGGTTTTTCATGCAGTATTTCCTCGGATCCTCTTCAGATTTCTTCTGCTGCTCCATGGTGACCTGGCGCTCCAGCCGGGTTATAACGTCTTCTTGTATGTAAACTGGAGGGTTTTCCTCGACTGCGTTTTTACTTTGCGTTTCTCCCATTTTATTAAAATTTTGTTTACATCGTGTTATGTTTTGTGGATTTGTTTATTTACTTGATGTACTGAAGGGTAAACTGATTAAAATAAAGTCAGCTGATTGAAAACCAGATTTATGGAAGATTTCTGAAAGCGTGCATACTAATAGAAATACTCGCAACTTTTTTTTCTTCAGGAAATAGCTGCTTAAACGAATTTACATAATAATTGATGGTTACAATTGAAGTAAAGTTCTTGGACACGTTTTGAGGCCTGTTTCGATACGCGTTTTGTGTTGGTAACGTTCAAGGTAGGAGAAATTGATAAAATATTTTCACTCTACTTACGGATTGATTTTACATTTTACGCTTTATATTTAGGCTAAAACATCAGATAACAATCATTAGCTTGCGAATAAGTGTATGCTAAAAATGCTATAAAGTGTAATTAATAACACGAAATGAAAAATAAACCCTCTTAATCACTGATGAGGTTCTGGTTTTGTTTGTGACGAACCGGGTCGGAAACATACTTCAAACTTCAGAAGTATCATACAGAAAATAAATCTTTGAAGGATATATGCTGAACACACTACAGTGATCCATATCCATTGAGTATCTTTTAAGATATATTATTGTTGTGTCAATTTGTGTGTGTTTGTCTCATCTTCGCTATGGGCTGCTGAGATGTCGCATTTGTACCTCGCCTGAGAATGCTTTTTACGTTTTGGGAATGAATATTACGATTAAAGTTTCGATGGGAACGATAATTTAATATACTGCCCACGTGGTTCAAGCTGCAGTTCCATGAGAAAACCACGTGGTCGTCATGCTGATTATTGAGTTAGAAGGGAGGATACGGACGTAATGGTTGTGGAATGGGGGAGAGGGGTAAAACGAGGGGGATGAAGGTCGCAGCTTCTCCTGGACCATCGATCCATTCCCCCTCCTACAATGTATCGGGATGGAGTGGGGGACAGACATTCTAACATTATGGTTATGTGCCCGTCATAAGAACTAACTACTCTTGAACCTAATGCCCTTCTAAGAACGAAAGTAATCTTAAAATATAATTTAAAATGTTACATCACTTAATAAAGACAAAGTCGCAATTTCGTGTATATTTTAAAAATACAGGGTAAGATGAGAATAGAGTGGGATGTTAATCTGGGTAATTTTTAACTGACTAAGATAGGATATTTACATCATTATTTTCGAAGTATAATCAAAAGTCAGCCATGTTAGTTTCACATAGTCAAATACCTGCAAACATTTCTCAGGACTCATGTTCAGGGGATTCACGTTCACTTCTCAAGCTATCTTTATCTGATTGAGTAGGTGATGATATAGTTTTGTGATACATCTATGTTCACGAAAAACACCGATAGGATAACTCAAGGTTTTAAATCCTCAGATACATTTGGAACCATACAACGTTCTGAGTAGTGGCAAGTTTACATCCAGACACAGTGCTCTCAATTACAAAATTGCAAGGAATTTTCTCATCCGGCAACACATTCGTTCTTCGTTCCCTTCTCATTTCTAAAACACAAAATCTTCTAACATTGTAGCTGTTTTAAAGAAATCCCTTGTTATGCCATTATTCTTCTGCTTTCGTCGTCACCAAAGTAAAAAGAAGATATTTTATTACTGAAATACTTCAGGGTAACACAACTTTAAACAGCTCTACACGTTTCATAATTACAAACTAAAAAAAAATGTTTCATGAAAATGTCATGTAATTTTGTTCCGTGTCCTTAGGAAAGTTGTAAGAAAACCATCATTACTTATTTGTTGAATAATTGTGAGCGATTAAGCAATCACTCAGACACTCTCTCCAAAAACTCTTTCGCTTGCATGTTTCAAAGGCAAATCGACTGAACGAATCAATCTGTTGTTGCAAGTGCAGCTAGTCTATGGTCCTGCAATGCTGGCGATAACTACTGCCACAGACTCAATATGATAATTCAGAGCTCAACTAAGACCTATATGGACCTAAGGAGAGCTTATAAGACAAACACGTAATAGTTCTCTCCGGCGAGGAAAAAACTCTTTGTACGAAAATTCATGCATTGAAAATATTTTAATAAAGGTTTTGAACTCACTTATACAGCAGACAGCCAACATCCTCACGCTCTCGTCCGGTGGGTTGCATTCTGGGAAGAAAGGCTTGAGGATGTAGACGCTGAAGGTGAGGGCTACTATGGCTAGCGAGCACGGACGGACGATCATGCACTCAATCCAGAGTCTCATGAACGCCATGAAGGGCCCGAACGTCTCCATGATGTAGGCGTAGTCCGCACCACTCTTGGAGATCATGCAGCCCAACTCGGCGTAGCAGTAGGCCCCAACCTGTACAATAATATGTGATAGGTCTATTGTATAATGATTATGCACTCTATCCAGAGTCTCGTGAACGCCAAGAGCCTGAAAGTCTCCATGATGTAGGCGTAGTCCACGCCACTCTTAGAGATCATGCAGCCCAGCTCAGCGTAGCAGTAGGCCCCAACCTGTACAATAATATGTGATAGGTCTATTGTATAATGATTATGCACTCTATCCAGAGTCTCGTGAACGCCAAGAGCCTGAAAGTCTCCATGATGTAGGCGTAGTCCACGCCACTCTTAGAGATCATGCAGCCCAGCTCAGCGTAGCAGTAGGCCCCAACCTGTACAATAATATGTGATAGGTCTATCGTATAATGACTATGCACTCTATCCAGAGTCTCGTGAACGCCATGAAGGACCCGAATGTCTCCATGATGTAGGCGTAGTCCGCACCACTCTTGGAGATCATGCAGCCCAGCTCAGCATAGCAGTAGGCCCCAACCTGTACAATAATATGTGATAGGTCTATTGTATAATGATTATGCACTCAATCCAGAGTCTCATGAACGCCATGAAGGGTCCGAACGTCTCCATGATGTAGGCGTAGTCCGCACCACTCTTGGAGATCATGCAGCCCAGCTCAGCATAGCAGTAGGCCCCAACCTGTACAATAATATGTGATAGGTCTATTGTATAATGATTATACACTCAATCCAGAGTCTCATGAACGCCATGAAGGGTCCGATCGTCTCCATGATGTAGGCGTAGTCCGCGCCACTCTTGGAGATCATGCAGCCCAGCTCAGCGTAGCAGTAGGCCCCAACCTGTACAATAAATGTGTGATAGGTCTATTGTATAATGATTAAGCATTCTATTCAGAGGCTTATGAAGAAGCAGCTGCAGTTTGATAGTTCTACAAACTTTTTAGAAACAAAGGGTGACGTTACAAAGGTCAACACATGTTTTCTATATAGGTCTCTACTGTACTTAATACTGTAATGACATCCACAAGACATTTTCTTTTGAAATAATAAGGAATCGAAACTCAGCATTCAATTGCTACTGAGGACTTACACTGTTTTTGTTTGGGGTTTAAAAAACTCAACGTTAATCATTTAACATCAATATTCTTGACAGTTTCATACACATGCTATGGTGGTCTACTTGTATTGTTTCGATTTTTCGGCGTTTTTTTTAAGGTCTTCATAAGAGGAGTACTACAATAGTTAGTTCTTATACAGATATGAGATGGCACCAACTGGCTCGGTGGCGAAACTATAATAGTTGCTGTAAGCAATTAGAGGTTACCATAAAGCTGGTATTCTACCATTTCAACATGTTCTGAGTTGTCAAAAGCTGCAACTGCATTGTAAATGATCAGTATTTAAAATTTAATTTTCGCTGATCACTGGTTCGGCTGCAAAATTAAAATATCATGAAACAAAAACCTACTTCCTCAATCCTTAAAAACAAGACATTTACGTACAGTAAAAATATTGTGGTTTTCAAACTTTACAAAATGTTATAAACGGGTATTCTAATTTAAGACTTAACAACAAAAGGGGTGTTTTGAGCGCATAAAGCATACAAATAGTGTAATTCTGTTATGTCGTTAGCAGATTCATGAGTCCAAGCTGGGATAAAGATTTCACTATGTGAAATCTTCCAAAATGTTCGTACTATCAGAAGACCCCTTCCCCAAGGAGATGGAAGGCGAAATGGTGGACATTAGAAAGTCAGTTACACGCAGGTCAATTATGCGAAATTTCGATTATCCGAAACCTGTAATTTAAGGACGTTACTGAACCAGTAACCAGACACAAATAGGTGAGCGTTGATACCGATGTACTACTGGAAAACACAAGAAAAAAAATTCATTTTAAAACTGTACAAGGTTAAAACTTGAATTGGAACAAAAATTATTTACAATCGAGCATAAACAATTTTTATGAATACAACCATAGATACAACTCTAATGGATTATAGATAAAATAGTCTTGAAACAAATAAAAATAGACCAATGAATAATGAATAATGAATAGTTTGAGAAAACAGTTCAATGTGTTATTTATTGTTCAAATAACAATTCAATTATCATATTGTTGAATAAAGCAATTAAAGAAATTATTGTGTGACTTAGAATTCAAACTGTATTTTATATTAGTAACGTTATGTTTGCACACATAAATATACAACTACTGAGATAACTTTTGCGATTTTTAAGTTGTCAGAAAAATATACACACCAATGGAACCACTAAAGCTCTTTTGATCTAATCGTAATAATAATCTCAGATCACCTTTAGCACAGATTCACAATTGAAAAATTGAAACTTTATAACCAGCTACATTCATAACCATTTATCAAGCTACATTTTATTATATCGTTCGGGTTGAATTTACAGATCGAGTTATACAATACGTCAAATCAAATAATGCGAAAAGATTTGACACACTCCTTTGACAAGAGGTTAGCCGACTGATCGACGTGTAGGCTTAAGCTAAGTAATGGCTTGCTGATCGATACATCAAGGTCGAGAGCAAAGTAAATCTAGGACTCGTTCCTCAATCTTCTTCGATCAGATCAGAGTCAGTTACAAACACGTGGCGTGGGGTGATTTGAATCCTGGTTAACCTCAAAATTGAGAATGTTCCAATGATCTGGTTGAAGGAGGTTATAAGGTAATGTTATATACTAGCATTGACTATATTATATAGTCAACGATACTAGTACATCGTTACTCAATCTTCATTGGTCAGATCAGAGTGAGTTACAAACACGAGGCGTGAGGTCTGGTTGTCAGTTGATTTGAATCCTTGTCCTCAAAATTGAGAAGGTTCTAATGATCTGGTCGAAGTAGTTTATAAGGTAATGTTTTAATACTAGTAGGCCTACATCGTTCCTTCCAATCTTCATCGATAAGATCAGAGTGAGTTTCAAACATGTAGCGTGAGGTCTGGTTGTCAGGTGATTTGAATCCTTCTTAACCTCACAATTGAGAATATTCTAATTAACTGGTCGAAGTAGTTTATAAGGTGTGTTGCTTAGTCTATGATACTAGTAAATCGTTCCTTCCAATCTGCATTGATCAGATCAGAGTGAGTTGCAAAGGTTGCAAACACGTGGTGTGGTGTGAGGTCTTGTTGTCAGATGATTAAATCGTTGTTAATCTCAAAATTGAGAATCTATATATCTATCTATATATTAATAGGCAAGCATGTTTCTTTAAAACCTTTTTTCTCAGCTCGTGTGTATCGTAGGGAAAATCTACGCATACCGTTAGAAAGCTATTTTCCTGTAGGTGTGCAGAATCCCTTTATAAATTAAAATAGGCTCAAAAATAAGCACGAAAAATGAATTTGAAATTTTAAAAAATTAACATGGGTCATATGGGTTGCTATGGTGATGACAAAATAACAACAAAATATAAACAGAAAATCAAAACAAATGGAAGACATTTCAATCACATGTTTTATTTACAGTGTGGGGTGAAAATAGAGAAGTTTGCACAAAACATACTTTTGGTCGATTTTTCGACCACGGGGCGTACTCTCGTACTTATTTAATACGCAAGCAGGTTTTTTGTGACAATTACTCCTCCTAAACTACTAAACCGATTGACATGTTTTTGGTGTCATTGGAAAGAGCGTAACGTGAAGTTGTGCAGGAAACTTTCTTTTTAGGGAAATAATTAGAGAGTGAGGCCCTGGACCCCTTGAAATTTCGTATTTCTCCATAAGATTAACATGGGAAACAAACATTGTTATGAAACTCCAGCTGTTGTCAGAAATGCTGTTCTGCTATTTAATTTAATTTGTTTACAAGGAGAATTGTTTCTTAGTGCCATGTGGTCAATGAATTATACTTTTGCATACATTTTAAATACTATACATTATATAAAATGATAGTACTGTAATACATTAAGAGATCTTCATTTAAATAATCATTAAGCACGAGAGCCTTTGCCTACATGTTTCCTGTTAAGTGTGTCGTAACTGTTTCTTATAGTATATTATTGTATCTTAATGTAAAACCAAATTATTCTTTTCTGCATTCTCACCCCGTAGCGAAGCACGGGCAGAGCAACTAGTGTTCTAATTAACTGGTCGAAATTGTTTTATAATGTTTTCAAAATAGTTGAATGAGTTTATTATAAAAACAATAACAACCAAATCAAAACAAATACTAATTTGACAGTTGTGATCTTTTGTTTGCAATCTGAGTGGCGTCAAAATATAACGGGAATAGCACACCCATGATGGAAGTAAAATACATGGGGGTGCTATTCCCGTAATATTCTTACGTCACTCAGATTAAGGAAATAGGGAAGGAAATAACCATAAAATTGTCTTCAGTTGATCCAGAAGGATGACAAATCTGCTAAGAGAGTACTACTGTATGTTTATGTTTTCTATTCTCAGATGTTTCAGGTTCAAGAAGACTGCTTGCATATCTTATCATTGCAGTTATTGTACCATTATCTTGCCAATATGACTTATCCGTAATGGAACCTCACTGTATTAAAATCACAGCACAGATCAGATGTCCATGGTGTCGGGCGAGGTTCAAATCTTAAGAAAACTAAAAATAATTGTCAACATCTTTGAATTTGCATTTCTTTACTGCATGACTTCAAGATCTGTTGATAAACCCTATTGATCCAACGTCACCTGTAGCGTGCCAAGACAATGCGAGAGTTGAGGTCTGGTTTCGCAATGCTACTACAAAAGACCGACCCTCAGTGAAGATATCGGTTTCATCATGCTGGAGGCTGTTGGCTGTGATAATGGAGGGGTACAGCCGGTTTTCGATCGTTCGCACAACGTTATCCGGCAAGACAGGTCGTTAGGACCAAATTGAGGCTTTGCGTTTGCATATAGCTACAGTGTTTCGTGTGGTAGGAAGTTGTCAGAATGTTCATGTTTCAAAGGGTATTTAATAGCGTTGAGTTCGATTTTTCTTGAAGTTTTTTTATGAAGTAGGTTTATGGTTTTAAAATAGGGCATAGGATGAATGTTATGGTAATGGTAGATAGGCAACGTATTAGGTAATGCAAAATGTTCACGTTGGTTTATATAAAGATCGTATGGAATCCATTTTATAGGGATATCCACTGCTGTTACAGTTTTTGCAGGAGATATCTTATGTTTCGTATGAATTGAAGCTTCGTCTCATCGCGGTACTAAAACTGCTTAAAATCATGCCGAACATCCACTGTTGATTGACTGGATTGAACCCAGGCCTCTGAAACTGAAACTTCATGTTTTATGTTTTAACCATAAAACCACTTGACCACTATAGGGTAGTGCACGAGAAAACTGATGTTTGAATCGATAAAAAATAGTTGACAATAAAACCGTGGCGAATCACGTTCATTAGAGAATCCCACCACGAAGGCAAAACTACTACTTTGGTATGACACAACACCAACAACATCGGTATGATAATCTTTAATGTTTAAGTTAAGGAATCCAGTCTTTCCGTTTCATTTTTTCAGTCCTCAATTCAAATGGTAACTGTCCCTAGAGATTCAGTAGTTCTTTGCTTAGAGCACTATGTAGGTCAACTCCTCCATTTTGTATTTTCGTAGTCCTCTGGCATATGATTTGCTTCGTGAGAGGCACAAGAATAAAAACTGAAAACGCTGTGTGTTATATATAAAAGTTAGATCAACTTTTACTTGTCTCCTAATAGTTCTACTTTTTTAGAATGGGGGATGTTAACGGTGTTTAAATCAGTTTCCAGTAGCCTGCATTATCTTTGAGGGAAGTTACGTTCCACTATCATGTTGTAGAGGTCATGATTTAACGACACATTCTCTGTCACGCAAACAGAGCCACACGTCACGCGATAAACCGTGAAAGCACCAGATATCTGACACGCGACAAACTGAATATTTAGATATATCTGGATATTTTTATATATCTGTATTTAGGTGCGAAGCAAACCCTGTTAAATTGGGGACCACTGCCCTGTATAAAGGTTTGCCATAACAGCTGTGCCCCATTCAATTGGGTCATCCTCTCTACAAAAATAAAGGTAGGAGATTGCACAGTTCTACTTATTTTATTTTTATATATTTCACCGTGCATCTCCATTTTAAGATGTTACAAAGCGATAATCCACAAGAACTCAGAATGGCTAATTAACATACAAGAAATAACACTAACAGGTGAGGAGAATGTTGTTCTGTTGAGGAAAAAGTTGAAGACGTTTGTTGTAGGTAACATTCGTTAGACAAGTGAAGGTGGAGGCCAGTAACTTTCTTGTCATACACAATGATCTAAAAGGTCGAAAAGTTCATGACTGGGGCTTGAAAAGTTCTTGTACTACCTGAAAAATTGCATGGGTCACAATGGATGGATTTTCTAAAGGTTTATACAATACATTTATATTTTTTACAAGGCTTCAAATCACATAGAACGCTCTAAGCCGAAAACTACTTGAATAAATCCAGATTGACAATGCCCAACTCGTTAGTTTCCATGATTTACAAAAAAGGTCAATAATGTTGTCAATCAACATATAAAAACAAATTCAATACTTTACACTTATCACCAAACCCGTAAAGAGATGTTGTACTCACCATGGAGAAGAGTCCAGAGATGGTCCACACTATGAGAGACACATTTACAGACCCTGTGTACTTGAGTACTCCAGTGGGGCTGACGAAGATACCGGAGCCGATGATACTACCGACGATCACAGTAATACCGTTGGTCAAGGTCATCTTGGCCTTGAGGCAGACTCCATCGTCTTCCGCAGCCCCGGAGGCTACCCCTTGCAAGGGAACCTCCTCGGGGGTCTTCAGCTTCTCGGCCGAGGTGCTTCTGGAGTGCACCATCTTGTCTCACGCACACGCACGCACCGGTCACCGACTCATCCGCACCTCCTGGAATCAAACAATATATATTAGAGGTAAAATGAAGGCATTTTTACTAAAATCCGTTCACAAAATTCAGATGTTTTTAGGGGAAGAAATCCAACCCCTCCACTTTCTTCTACATTCAAAACAATTCTTCAGCTGAGGTTTGCCAAAACGTCAGCTGCAACATAAATATTGAGAAAAATGCAGTTGAGGACCTCCCCTCAAACCACCTAAATTTTGTAAATGGTCGAACGGACCTCAAGCACTGTCAACTACGTAGTAAACATTGCGTAGTTTTTTAGTACTAATACTTTCTTCTTCTTCGTGATGTTTCAGTCCAATGATCTGAAACCCTACTGGACTGAGGCTGTTTTAGGACTTTGTCCTCTTCAACCAACTATATTAACTACTTCAAGCTATGAAGATAAAACCATGTATTCTAAGGTTCGTAGACAGGAGCAGAACTCGTTCTTTTCCCTCTCAACTTTAAATCAAAGATGTTATAGTTATGCTCCTTGATTAATATTGAGCAGAGAGGCACAGAGCAGTAAGCCACCCAACATTTTGTAGGTATTCATGCTACAAGATACTGGCTAGATATGGGTTACAGTAATTTGAAGTAGTGATCGGTGTAAATCATCTGAAAAAATGAAAATATTGACTGTATTTCCATGAGCTTATTCCGAATGCAATACTTTTATTTTCTGTATATTTCTTCAGGAACACTTCTGCAGCAACTTCTGCATAGTTTGAGAGTGTTAGGGAAAATGGTGGTGAGGGTGTATACAAAATAATACATAAATTAATATTCCTCTAGTTTCATGTCTACTATTACTTCGTAAACAACGTACGTCTAAGATAGTAAGGTATGTGTGGTTTGATCTAGTCACGTACGGGAAAGACGATCGTGCCACATCCGCTACAGCATCACCAATACAGTCAGGTACAAAGAGCCTGTTGTAAAAAGCTCTGTTATCGTGTGTTATGAATGGCTGTGAGTAGGAGTCTAATAGCTCTCAACACTATTGTTCAATAATTGTGTTCTCATTCAACGCTTCAGCAATATTTATTCAATTATTATATGGTTTTTAGGATTTTTAGGACAGGGAGTGCTCCAAACAAAAGTTTCTCCTTACCCGAAACGCGTTTCTTCTTTGTTTTGTAAATCGATGGGGAATGATGGGGATTTTAAGGCGGATTCCGAAGAATCGGGTCACGACGTTATTACATAGCTACGAAGTGTTGGGCGTTAGTGCGATTTGAGCATGGACCTCCAAGTCCTCGCTATAAGCAAAGACAATGTAAAATTTTAAAGGTGCTGTATCCCTTAGAGCACGATTGATGAACAAAAATAACTACATCCTGCTACTGACTGAGGTTAAATGGTTCTTTGTTAGTTCTAAAAGGCTCCTTAAGTAGGTTTTTGTTTCATTATTTGTTCAAAAAAAATCGCACCAAAACTTGAAATGTGCCTCATATCTAATCATCTAATAAATTTCTGTGGCTCTCAGGTAACAGTGTAAGGTTATGATGTGAAAAACGTCAAAAACAGTTGTTAAACTATTGCGTTTGTTGTAAGGACTCCTCAGGTTATTTTTCAAAGATAACATTCACAATATTCAACCAAATCAAAATATTTGTCTATTAAAGCTTAGTTTGTCGAAAGAATGTGGATGTGCTGTGAAAAACGTAATAAAAACTAGATCCCCTTAGATCAATTAGATATGACTTTGTTGTGACAATGAGATACGAAGCATTCCGTGGATTAGCTTCCATAGATGGTCAGGCATTGATGACTGGTTACAAGTGAATGAAAGTTTTTCAGTGTCTGCGTCTCAGACGTGATCGCCATGCTGCATACAAGACATTCACAGAAGATCGTGTCTAGACAGTCCTTATGTTTTTAGACAAAACCTTCCTCTCATTGGTTGATTTGCAACAATTAACATTCTGCGTTGACTGAAGGTAGACGTATATTTCCAGAAGAAGCGTACAAGATCGATCTTCTAGCTGAACTGTTGAAAGTTGCAATAAAGATCAAGATTTACAAGTAAAAGAATGTAAAAGTTCATACACTATGCATTATTATAGTTACTGATATAATACAGATGGGGGCGCAATAGGATGCATTTTAACCCAAGTTCGAATGATTTATGAGTGTAGTATGAAGTGAGATGTCATGTGTAACTTTGTTACTATCGAAAACCAGATTTTTCTTTAGCTGGGACCATATATTCAAATTTTAATGATCAAGGACAGCTAGAGTCCAGTTTCGAAAATTCAACAGAGATTTTTTTAAAAATCAAACCGGCAACCTTCTGTTGAAAAGAAGAGTACTGTAAAACTACTCTGCTACCTAACTGTGTATAGCTTGTGCCAAATTGAAACATTGCAAGTAGATGTTTTCTATCGTACTTAAAAAAAATGCAATAGGGTGTAACACACGATTCTATCATTTTCTATGTAATGGTAAAGATTATTAGACCGACAGCAGTTCTGCGATTAGCATAAGTTCTGGCGTCCACCACTTGGAGCGCAGTGTAGTTAATGCGCACGTGCTACGTAACTACACGGCACTCCTAGCGGTGGACGCAAGAACGTATACTAACCGCAGCACTGCTTTCGGTTTGCATTTAATTCTATTTGTCTATGTTATATCCAACGCTCGGAAATAAAAGCTGTACAAGTAGTGTGTATTTGTGCAACTTGTATTGTCAACTTGTCATCTTTGCAGGTGCACTAGGCGTCTGCAAGTCGCAGTAGGTTCTGTTGACTGTTTACTTAGGTGTAAGAGTAAGTAGAACACTTGCAGCAAAAACTGTGTGCTACATTGAGTAACTTACAAACAGTGCCTGTACAGCTTTCCAGGATTGACTATATATACTGATAGTTTGATTATGATTATCCTCATATCTTGACTAAGTTATTCAAGTGATCCCAAGATATACGCGGCATTGTTAACATTGATGTATTGATCCCAAGCGTTATCGCTTCATAATTATCACTTGATTCAAGAGCTCGGAACACTTCACTTGAAACTCCGACACAAGTACTGAATCGTAACTTCTTGCCTTCATAGATAAGGGAAGCTTCTTGAGAAGTAAACAAACTCAATCAATGTCCGTTAAATGTGATTATCTATTTTACGTCCGTGAACTTAAATAGTTTTTGTCTAATTTTGATTAAATTTGGCTTGAAGGTGTAGGCCGGGATGAACTTGAGTTCGCTAACCAGCATGATCGCACTATGAAAACGTAGTGTTATGGAGTAAAAAAAATAGGTTTTCTCAGTTTTTCCCAATTTCTCTTAAACAATTTTAAAGAGCTTAAGAACAAATAATTTAGTAAATACTGTATATTTAAGTGGTTTTAACGTTATTTGTTACGGATAAATTTAATAAATTGTAAATTCAAAATTCCCATGTTTTTCTTTTGGAGAATATGTAAACTGGTGTAGTTTACTTGTTCATGACAATATTTTAATCAAACTTGGCAAATTTATTTATTTTATACTAAGTATTCATATTTTACTAAAACACACTTTATTAAACCCCTGTAGCACGAAGCCTAGGTACTTGTTATACCTAATGCTATTGAAATTTAATTGAAAATCCAATTCCAGGTAAATGGAAATTAGTCTGCAGGTTTACTGTGGAGGGGGTATTTTTTATTACGTCGTAGCTTCTTCACAGAATGGGGGTTTGTTGCTTTTGGGTGTTTCCAAGCATCAGATTACTCTTATTAAAAAGTGCCAGATTTTTAAATTCTAGTATCTGAACTAACATAGTTTACAATACAAAATACATCCTTATATATAATACGTGAAGGCGATTTCTACGAAACACTACTTCTCCATTAATAATGGACGGATTTTTACAAACGATGTGTCAAAATTAAGTATTTTTTTGTGTAGACGCCCCCTTTCACCAATTCCTGTTACAAAAGTTTACTTTATTGAAATTATTTCATTCTTTTTAGAGCGTTTGAAGTCGGTTGTATTTTTTTACAAAAATAAATTATGATAACTGTAATAGCTGTAAGGAAGTGAATGATAACATTATTTTTGAGTTGACTCTTTTAAGTAACGTTTTGAAATAACGTCTGGAATACTTTGCAATATCTCGGATTTGAGCAACAGGTGCACTCGTATTACTATAGTATACAAAATTAAAAATATATTATTGACTATTTATTATACCACCAGAGGAGAGAACAAACTCTTTAAGGAAACCATAAGTGTTTATCCTACCATGGAAAATTTTTAAAATTATAAAACATCCACATCCTTATAATTAACACATAATTTCAATTTTTGTTATTGAATAACAACACTTCGTTATTAGTACAGAAAAAAATTCACAATCAAGAACGCCCAGCACACTGATAATCCTTATCAAGCGTAGGTCGTCTCTCCGCGCAAACCATACCATAGACGATATGTCGTATAAACTATTTTGTGACTTTTAGATTATTACTAGGACAATACTCATAATATTGTGGTTTGTCATTATAATTCTTTTTTTAATAGACTGCATAAATAGCTTAACAATATTCGAAGAATCAGAATGCACACACAACACACAGGTCTTTTCAGTGAATATGTACTTCAACCTTTGTAATAGCCTTTTAGAGAATATGTTTATTATTAAGCATGTATTTTACTTTTTACCTCTTTGTAGGTGTTAAACAATAAATACATTACCGATCTGGTACATGTAAAGCACTCATTCAAATAACTAGTGAAATATATACGTAAAACATTAAATCAACATCATTGTCATTATGTCAATGATAAATTTCCTTTCAGGCCTGAGTTTGATTTACTTTTATTCAATTTTATTAATGAACTAGCTGTGTGCCCGTTCTACGCACGGGGATCTTATAGTAGTCAGTTGAAACCTTCTTATATTAAGATTAAGAACAGCAGTTAGTTTGCATATTTGCAGATATGCTGGCAAAACTATTATATATAAACCTTCGCAAATACAGTATCTGACAGTTCAAGCCAAAATAAATGCTTCGCAA